AAACCAGCCAACCACGCCTGGCGGTTGAGTTACCCCGCTTCAATGAAAAGCTCACGGAACGAACAAAATTTCACCAGAGGAATGTTTATTTATGCACGAAGAGAATAAGGTAGTAATGCGCTCAACAGGTAACTAATTTGCCACTTTCTTCAGTTATCTGGCTTAATAGACCTACGTTAGCTACCCATGTTTCTGAAGATTTTTCACCAACCATTAAACATTCGCTATTTTTCTAAGGTAGGTAAATAGAAGTTTAGTATTATTTTGTTGGCCTTTTAGAGCATTACATTGGTTGCTTACTAGACAGTTAGTGAAACGATGGATAATGTAAACGGAAACATAAAACCAAAAGATCAGCACTGAGATTAGCATAATACAACAGCTCTGGATGACGATGTAACTAGCTCTCTAAAATCTTGTGTTTGGAAACCAAACAGAAGAAAAGACGGTTATTATCAAACTGAGTAGTAAACTTGATGCTCTTCAGATGATACATAGTGGACGAAAAAAACGTTTCAAATGAACTTCTTTTGAACCGCGAATTCATCTTATAAGTTATACATCTGAAGAGCCTCAAATTAACGGACTGTTATATAAATAATTGAGCTGATTCAAATAAAACGATTGTGAAGTTCATGAAGAGCTTAAGAAAAAATCACAAAATTGTAATTGTAGTTTATCATAAATAACTTAAATAACGTCGGCTATCTACATGTTGACTAAGCGTCTCATTGAAAATTTTTGTGATTGCCGAAACGATAAGACAAAACCAGTACGACGGTAGACCTCTTGAGTTGATAGGAATGTGACCATTATTATCGGTGGGGATAAACGTTGATGAAAAAATCCTGAAAAATTCTTATCCTGCATGTATTCAGTAAAGTATTTTGTGTTAAGAAAATTGTGTTGAATGATGATAGATTTATAGAATCTAATGCCTGAGAACTCTCAAGATGTATTCCTCCTATTTTTGTGATGCCATACTCACAAGTATATTCCTTTTCATTATATTTATCTATTCGCATTAACTGTGCACTGCACATTTTGTCATAAAATTGGCTGTGTATCACTGGTGTTTAATGGGTTTTAGATTAATCCTCATTTAGCAGGATCGCTAAACATTTGAAATCAGAAACATTGTGAAATATTCTTTTTTTTTCAAGCACCAGTGGTTACCAATCTAACAATATTGATAATGATAGTCATATTTAGTAATATAAATTTCGTTACACTGAGCACTAGCTGCGCAATACTTAAACAAAATTTCTCTTTAACATCTTTTTTGAATTGTAGTTATTCAGAACCGTTTGATGCATGTTTCAAATAGCCAACTGCATCCAACTGCTATCGATGGCAAAAGTTTTATACCAGTTTAAGAGTTGCATTTACATTCTCCATGTATTATATTATAATGTTCAATATAATTTTTCAAAGAATTGACAAAGTGGAAAACATACTAGTAACTGTAGTGTTTCCGTTTGAATTTGTGGCGGATCCCAGTATAAGGACTTATTCAAGATATAACGATATACACAGTTACTGATGATGTACCAAAAAGTATTAACACTAGATATTGAAGTGTCTGTTTATGAATAAAGCAAGACCGTAACAAATAGAACTTACAACATAATGGTATATTATATAACAAAATGATAACAATTGTTATGAAATGAATGTTACATGTAAACTCCTTCTGAGATAACAACCACGAATGAGTTCACTTGATTAGTGAAGTTTCCTTTGCATGTAGTGGCAACAACGGAGTGATGAGAAGGATAAATTCAATGGTATTGTAGTGATCTACTTTTATCAAGAGAACGCGATTGGTGTAATGGAAACAATTACTATTATAACCAATTGTACCAGGGATTGTTTTACCGTACTTGTTTGTTTAACTGTACCAAAATACATACATTCTTCCGTTGATTGTGACCTTGCGCGCGCTTACGTTTGCTCAGTGATTCCGCTTGTACTCCTTTGTACTCCTTCGATACCACGAGATCGCCAACAAATATATCTCGCTACAACCTCCAATCGCCTTCTGATATCTGGTACGCAACCTTCTTGTAGTAGTGATCATAGTCAACCGCGACTCGACGCCACACTACAGTATTATTCAATAATAATTCGGATCAAAACTCCAATGTAGTGTAGAATTGCCTAAAACGATGTAATAACACTGTCAAAACCTTCAATCACAGTCTATAGACAACGAGATAGAAGAACAGATAACAGAGTTAGCGTTTATTTTAATAACAGCGATAGTGTGTGTGTGTATTATTACAACCGAACAATTATGTCCGCTTTTTTTAACATTGATACAGAGAAACAATAAATATTGATTATAAGTGTGATTTCATGTAAAGTGTCATAAATAAAGAAAACAAAATGTAGTCTTTATTTTGTCGTTACAAAAACCATTGAATATACATGTCACTATGAATTTTTCAGTACTTAACTAATTGTAAACCATTTAAAACGACATCAAAGTTAATACAATCATGGTTCATAAGTATTCCATTCAAACATTTAGAATCAGAAAATTAATTTCAATAATTTTAATGTTGAAAAATGTATATGAGCAATTTGATATAACTAACAATTTGCATAGATGTATATTAATTGTATTCAAGTCTATTATCACCTTTCCATCCGGGTTTGCATAACTTCGCCTGTCATTCTTCTAAAGTTACTGCCGACCCTAAGCTCGGATAAAGAAGGAAGGTTGAGCATGGAGTCGGCAACCCCATCCCGTAGAAAAAAAGTATTGCTAAGAAAAACGTCAACCAGACTAAACAAATTAAAATTCTAATCTACATAAAGTTTCATTTTATTAATATCAGATGGGTTTTGTGGATATTATAGTAATTTCAATGGTTAAGATCATGAGTCAGTTGAAGCTAGACCACCATGGAGATAGTAACTCACTGAAGACAATGGTGGATGTGTCGCTCAATTTTGTGGATTGGTTGAAGTTAGACATTAATACCGTTGGACACCGGCTCAGTGGTCTAGTAGCTAAGTGCTCACGTCCGAAACCAGTAGGTCCTGGATTCGAATCTCGCGAGGGGCGAGGTCGTGGATGCGCACTGCTGAGGAGTCCCATACTAGGACGAGACGGCTGTCCAGTGCTTCCAGGTTTTCCATGGTGGTCTAGCTTCAACTGACTCATGATCTTAACCATTGGATTTTTTGTTTTATTATTTCTGTTTATCGAATGGTTTAAATACATTTCGATCTACCAAATTTTAGTGTTTATATGAATCAGATTGTTTATTTTTTCCGTGTTTTTTTCTATTATAACTCGTCAATTAATCAACATTCTTCGTATTTGTTAATCATCCATTAGACCGACCAGGTTAGCGTTTTTCGTTAGACCAACGAACCAACTATATTTTGATTTGAACTATTCAATAAAATAGATATTTATGCTCTCCGATCAATAATTTCCTTTTATTATTGTTTCAATAAAAAATATTTTTGAGTACTTTTCCTCATATTTTGATAATAAAATAGAGTACAGGTTGGAGACAGCTCATCGGTTTTTTCAATATTAGAACGACTCAATTGTATAATTGTGATATTTCAATGTAAACTTTCTGAGTATATATATAGATACTGAGACTATAATTGTAAGACCATCTCTACTCAATCGAATTAAAACACATCATTACAAATGATTCGGTAATTATTATGCTAGTGATTCAATGGATCTCAAGGTTATTCAAACCAGGTACCTACGGTATGACGAAGTAGAAGATATTTAATGCTTGAAACAGTTGAGATGTATAAATTAGATTACAAACGGTCCTTATATTCTCATACAAATTGAATATGTTTTTAAAAACACATAACGCTAAAGTGACTAGTTAGATTTAGTTTTTTAAACTTTGTATTTATCACTGTTTTTAATATGCTGGGTAAAACAGCACAGACCATATGATTAAGGTAATGTCTTACAGTCAATTTCGGTCAAGCTCTTTCAATGATTCACTAGACAGACAGTGTTATTCGAACAGTAACAATCCGCATATTTCTTTGTATTATTATGATTACTATCATATCTGTATAAACGTGTAAGCTTGATCACATGACAGACTCGAGCTGAAGTGTTGAAAGCTTAAAAACCGCTCTATGAATCATTCTCTTCGCTATGTATAAATGCACGCGAATTCTATCATTACCCTTTTTGCCTTGACTAGCTGCGCCTTATTCGAGTTGACTATAAATTTGTCTCTATATTTGCTTGCATACACACATTGGCCATTCTGCTTCAAATTCGCTCGATATGCTTATAGCTTTGTTATCCGTGCTATTCGTTAATAAACTGTAGTCGTTGCTTCTTATTACCTTCTGAAATCAAACATCGTGGGATTTATATAATAACGGTTTCAAATGTGATTGATTAACAAAGCAAAGCTACTACATATTGTCGACTAGACAAATTAACTATCACTTCAAGTTAAATTTCAAGTACTCAGTTTTTTTAAAACATCTACATAAAATGTCTATATCTTATGAACTGATTTGTGCTTCTTATTCAAACAATAATTATCCGGTTTAGTAGTAAATCGATTAAGTGAAAATAATTTCATATCTCATAGTGAACAATGGAAAATTTCAATATATATTTGATTGGTTAGTAAGCGTTTTTAAGAACTAGGGGTTTCAAATTTTTACCAATACATTTATACTCACTGTACAACGTAGTAGATATATGAACTTGGTAGCATGTTAACAGTTGATGCGAAATGCACTGGGTTTAAATTTTAGAGTGGAGTTCGATACAATGGTACCATTACATCTATCTGATGGGTCCCAGAGATGACGAAACACATCCTGGGTTCTACTGTCAGTCGTATATGAAGTTTATTAAGCTCATTTGATTCTTTTAGAGCTTATCAACAAATGATATTTTGAATTAATGGTAGGGAAATGAAATTCTTATCTTTTAAAACTAATGTGAACTAGAGACAGTGTAGTGAAAAGAACACGGATGGGGACAATCGAATGTATTTAACACAAAATTACAGGACTTGTTAAATAAATCTAACAATCATATAGGAAATGCTTAATTTGCAAAATGTCCATCAATTTTCTCAAAATGACTCAGACATCATTGTTCTTGCATTTTCGTACAAATTATATTTTGTTTCCATTCTTTACTGTTCGATCCTCTTGTTTCTCTGCTGCCAGACCTTCTGTTCACGACTAACATCATATACTACTTATGTCAATATAAGTAGCACACACCACAACAGATTACATTTAATTATTATATGAGATGAAAATATAAACTATAAATACGTTATGCTGACTGTTTTTTGGATTGAATCAAAATTTTGTTTTAGTTAGTAGTTTTTTCTGAAGAATAGTTATGTTTTGTGTCACATGAATTGATTGGTGAATCGTTTTTTAATCCCAAGTAAAAGTGATTGTATCCCATATTGTGAGTTATAGTTGTCTCTTGGTATTATTCAATTAAACAGTTTCAAAGCAAACATTAAAATAAATAGGTATTTTAAAGCTTACTAAATCTGTTAAATATGATGATTTTTTTTCCAGTATGTATACAGTAAACAGGAATTTAGAGATATTTAGGTTCTGTTGTAACTTTATTGACCCACTTTTTATTACGTGATCCACCCTCCAATCGAAATATGACTTATACAATCTTCACACTGTGCTAAACCAATGATGTTCGACTGGTATGAGCGGCCAAGAGTCCTTATTGGTCCCTTGCTCGCCTAACCCGTCCAGTTGAGTCCAGAACACGGATACAGCTTCCACTATGCGAATCATTTATTTCAGACATACTGGATTTATATATCAACCAAACAGAATGTAACGCCCATAAAATAGGAAATAACATTTATACACAATAAAGCCAAAATGTGTCTGTGAACGTGGGAGACAGTGACCCATAAACTGAGTATAACTTCAGAACAGTAAATCGTGCAATAATCTGTAGGTCAAAACGAAGATTGTAATAAGAGGAATATAGATATACATAATCTAATTACTGAATAGTTATACCATAAGAATATATAGATATATGTATATAATATTAGTCAATTAATATGTCTCAGAAGTTACTCGTGATTTAACCTTCTCTAGGATATAACCGGTTCCGTAAAAAATCACTCTTCCGATAATTCGAATTAAATGTAGATACTTTTTGATTAGACAGTTGTAGTTGTTCAATCAAAGAATAAGTCAATTCGGTTTTTATTCATCGTTTAAGTTATTTCTATGGACAGATTTATACTTGACCTATCGTCAAACAACTTAGACGACATTCTAGTGAATAGTTCCTTTCGTCGTTTGGAAATGGACTTAAAAAGCCAATCTACAACTCTTTTACCACACTTGATGGATGTTGGTAGACAAAACCAAAGCAATACGATAGATCCTATTACCTCTAATTGTTCCTAATTTATTTTGTGTAATTTTCTCCATTTATAAACATTAATAAACATCGTGATGGTGTTTGAAGCGAACGGTACTCGGTTCGAGTCCCGGAGTGAACATTAACTCAGATGCAGATACATTCAACTTAAAAGTCCCAAACAAGACGAAACGCTCGTCTTGAATTCCACTGCTAACCATGATCCATCTTTGCTTAATCATCTATGATTTATTTGTTTTCTTTGAAAAATCAAATTCAATACACCATTTCCAAATATTTTATTTTAGTATCCATGACGAGTTTTTCTTGTCAATCATAAACAATTTTGTAAAATATTTGTTCTACATCTATTTCATTAAATAAGTTTAAGGTGTTTGCGTTTTCATTGTCCAATATCTAGGCTAAATAATTTATGCAAACTCCGAAATCAATTTCCTTGGAGATCAAAACTAGATTTGATGTTTAATAATTTAAGTCTGTATCTAAATAATTTCTGTGATTGTATGTACCATAGAATTTTAAACTTAGTTCAAACAATTCAAGTTATTCTTTATTTAATCCATTACCCCACTCCCCCACTAAAAAATAACAATTAAGAACATACCATTTCGATTCAGTTGTAAATTTATTCTCGATTGGTTTGGTGGAGTAAGTTAGATTGACAAAATTTATATTTTCATGCTCAAAAGCATCTCCCATTGTGATTAGGTGAAGGTAATACTAAAAACAAAATGTTAACGGTTCATTTCTAGCTCATTTAATATAAACAGACCATAGATTCAATAAGGAACACGCAATTACAAATCTTGACTTTAAGTAACTTGGGTTTGAGTATTTTAAAAAAAATATATTCTATCGAATAAAATTAAATTTATATCCACTTAGTTACAGATTACTAAACTTATCTTTGAAAATATATAATAACTGAAAATTTTCAACTTGATTGTGTGCATTAGGATTGTTTAAGAATATTCCATTTACTGATGTTTGTTTATCATAACAAACTTCTTTGTATTTTATGTTAGTTGTCCGTCTTAGATTCATATGTCATTATCATTTTTATGTTAAGTGTTATTCGTGAGAAAGATGTGCAGCGCTAATAATGTAATCATAAATCATAGGATAAATATAAGACAGTCTTGTTCTGTCTTGGTCAATTTAAAACAGCCAGGTACTATCACTAGCTAATATACATAAAATGCCACAAAGATAAATTTGCAAACTTACATTGAATCAATTGAGTTACGTTTTAACATACTGAAGTCGTAATATTATTAATATTATTATTAATAAAACTTGTGGATTTTATCCATTACATATGTGCTTGGACTGTGTACGATGTTAAAACGAACTATAATTTGTGTCGTTGATTTGTGGAAATTGTTAAATTTCGCATTTTACATCAAAGCTTGACCTCGGTTAGGCCAAGAATGGCTTAATAGCTGTCTCTACTTGTATACATCTACATAGCAGTGCGTATCCATGACTTTAGTAGAGACAGAACTGAGGATCCTCATGTCTCACTGTTAGTATTTTGTCTTCATATCATTGAGCTGACATCAAATGATTTACATTTTTGTTTTCAGGCAATTGCAACATTATGTGAACGTTTTGTAATACCATTGGTGGGTAACTGCCTCACACTCTATGTGGTTGAACTTGATTGCTCAGTGCTTCTCACCAGAACTCTGAGAATGTTTGAGTTAAATCCCTGATGAGGTTGTAGATGGACAATATTGATGGGTCTCATACCAGAATGAAACAACCACTTTTAATGATCACCTAGGTACGGTCAGTTCGTGGTATGAACTGTGAAATTACCAATTAGTTAATTGTTTCTTTAGTCACAGATCTGACATGAGCTGAGTTCGTTTGAGACATAGTTTAGGGGAATTCCGGAGAAAAAAAACCGATCCCTTCGAATCATCATAGTGTTTCAGATAAAATTATCATGTCCTCTACCCTTTCATTAATTATCTATCTATCACAAGTTTTGGGGTTCTGAGTAGGGCAATACGGTCTAAAAAAGGTCAATAAATGGATCAATATTGAGAGAAAGTCTTTTAATTTATATTTGAAATGTTCTTTAGACAAATGATAATCACATCTAAATGCCTTTATTTTCATGTACACTTTCAAATTCTAGTATTGACAGGCTGTACACCAGTAAGTACAGAAAAATTTCCATATCTTGTCTGCCAATATCTAGCCTTCCTTTTGTCATTTTGAACACTCAGCTGTCAAAAGATAAATCCATAGAGTCACTATAAATAGTTTGTGATAAATGAAACCTGCTCCATTGAATATCTTTTAATCATTCAAAATATGTTATATGGACTTCATAAATCAAGTATAGTGAAATAATTACTTTCAAGGTTCACGAGAACTAATTATTATGAATTCAAATTCCATAGGAAAAATCAGTCCTTTTCAGATTCTAGGTAAGCCTTGACGAAGAGTGCCAACTAATATGAAATCTAGTTTGCGGGTTTCCTCCTGACTACTTTAAACCACCTGATCATAAATGAGTATTTCATATATATATATATATATATATATATATATATATATATATATATATATATATATATATATATATATAAACGAAAACGAGGAAGGCCAAAGAACACAGTGTCGAGAATCGGAAGTAGACACCAAAAAGATGAATAGCAACTAAAAAAACTAGAAACTTTTGTCGAGGAGAGAGTTAGATAGAGAATGCTGGTGGGTTGTCTATACTCCTACACAAGGGGTAACAGTCGTATACATGTTATTAATCACATACTTGTCTACAAGCTTATGTTATGACTTTTCTCAAGAATAATTGTTTTGCAACTTATTGATTACTGATTAAATCAGTTTGTAAAGTAAAAAATAAATCCTTACACTATTTGATGCATAAACTTTAAAGAACACAGTTGGTGATCTACGCCAAAGTGATTCAGAGAAGATCTAAAAACTGACAGTATAAAATCATATGATTGGTTAAATCGACAATACCGAAAACAAAATTGTATTTTTCTACTTATACACAAAGATATTACTGGCTGCAGTTATCGTGGAGGTTCTTTCATCTTATAAATAATATCACTTAGAATTAGTTCTTCATTAGGAAATTTTCAATAGGTATTGTTATGACTTGAGAGCGCCGATTAAAGAGCAGTGACTTATCGATCGGAACAATGACGCATAAACACGTGCGAGCAGCCTAAAGTCCTGATTGGGCCTGCTTCCTGCCTAGCCCAGCCAGTTAAGTCCAGAACACCATTCTCAGCGTGTGCAATATGAATCATTATATTTCAAACATACCGAGTTTATATACCAATTAAACAGACCACAATGTACCTATAATAAAATATGAAACAACATTTGTACAAGAATTAGCCAGATGTGCCTGTGAATGAAGGAGGTAGTAATTAATATATTGGGTATAACTCAAGAATGGTAAAACGTATAATAATAGTTTATGGGTCAAAATGAAGCTTATAATAAGAGGAATATGAAAATGCATAGTTTAGTTATTTAACAATTATAAGGTAAAAATATACGTATAGTATTGGTCCACAGATGGATCCGAAAGTTACCATTCATTATGTTTCTCGAGTCCTAACAGGTATATAATACCTAAACTTTAAAATTTCACATCAATTCAAAATGATTATAAAAATATCAAACAAAAAATTTTTAAATCTACACTTAATATGAACTTTTGTTTAAATTTGATCGAATAGTTTCACAATATTTAGGCGCAGAGTTAATATGAGACATTAAATGAGGAAGAATATATTTGTAAAATCTTGGCGAATGAATTTAAGGTAAATCCAACGTTTGGTCGAGCAATCTGGTTCATGCTTTTTCAAGAATATATTTCCTTGATCACAGATCTGATATAAACTGAGTTCGTTTAAGAAATTATTAGCTTTAAAATATCATTATCTAATAGGGCATACTTTAGGGAAATTACCCCCCCCCCAAAAAAAAACCTGATTATTTCGAATTATCATAGTGTTTCAAACAAAATTACCATATCCTAATGCTTTTTCAAGGATATATTCCTGATGAAAAAGCTTCGATCAGATTACCAGGCAAAACGTTGGATTGATTTCAAATTCTTTCATTGAGATTTTACAAATACATTTTACATTCAATAGTTTGTTTTAAAGTTTTATCATCACAAATAAATTAACAAAACTTCTTAACATACTACTTACAGTTAAGGTAAAAGAAAATTTAATACTTCTGTTAATTCATACATATATAGCATGAGCCAAATGATAATGAAAACAAATACAGGATCTTCACTAGTTGTTAATATGAATTAATATAATGAATATTATTTTATCTATACAACTGTATATTAACATGTACAAATATATGATTATTATTATTATAAGCTTTATTCAATATTATATTTTTGGTTCAATATAGAATTCTCAGCACAAAGTATTTCAACAAATTTCCATTTCTTACTTCTTGGTCGATCCTGACGATAAATATTGAGTGATCACCAGTTAGATGTTAGCAGTCCAGTAAACGAACATCTAAATAATGTATATTCTTTTCGCTGCAAATTGCCAGCGACCACACTATCTCTTATTAGGCTTTTTGTAACTTTGACAACGAAAAGTTGTACACTTTCCAAAAATACAGCAGGATATGTTATGCGATTAATAGACATAATGATATATTAAAACAAACAAAAATAGATAACTTGTTGAAATATCTAGATGGCAGGAACAGGTAGCCTAGATGCTAAAGCAGGCCGCCTATAAACAATGTTTATATAGAATCTTGCTTAATAATTAATCAATACATTATTGATTCTATCTTGTTTTGTATCATTTTGTTGATTGGTATTTAAAATATGATTAATCAATAATAGATGATGTTCATTTTTATGATAATCCATTTTTTCTTCACGCCATTGATAAAGTAAATCTAATATAGGACGTGTAAATGTACAATTTACAGTAATATAAATAGCTTGTAAACTATATAATAATGTGAATACATGCCAAAGAGAAATAGATGCTTGTAATAATGCTAAAAATGCAATCAACCATACCAAACTATGTGTAATTGTAAATTTTAATGTAATCCGAAAACGTGCACTTATATTTGTTGTTTTCCATAATGTTGTAATATTATCATGATAATGATTAGTATTTTGTTGTTGACCAATAAGCAATTTAATTATAATTAAAATACAAGAAAATTGTAATAATAATAATATAAATAATATTGGAAAGAAAATATAAAAATGTCCATAATTTGGTGTTAAATTACATGATATAACAGCAAATTCTTTATGATCTTCACTGATATAATTATTGGTTTCAAATAAAAATATACTAATTACAATACATAATATAGGTAAAATGATAACCATTATATGTCCCATTATATAACATAATTTTTTAATATGATTTAAACATACATTACTAGAATTACATAACTGATAGTTGCCATGGTAACCATTTATATTTTCCCGTCTACTCAACAATAAATAAACAATCATTAATGATGATTTTAAATTCATTATTATAGTTGTCAAGATACAATAATCGGCTAAATATCCAAAAATAATATGAATAAGATTAGTTTTTTTACTTAATGAACATGTAATTAATGTCATTAAATATGAAATTGAATAAAATAAACAATGTACCATGATACAGAAACCATAAAGTTTTCTTATACGTTTAAAATATAATATAAATATTAGATGGATTAATGTAGAACAAAATGCTAATGAAAAACAAATTTGTGTAATTGTATGCGTTTCTGAATCAATTCGACTATCATTATTTATAGTTATAGATGATATAGTTAATAAATCATTATGATTATATGAATGATTCATTCTATTTTTCTAATATGTGTATTACATGAATTGATTTACATAAATTATGGTGATTTGGTCGGAGTTGTATATTCTGACATTAAAAAAAAAAGAAAACAAAAGATGATGTCCAATTCCCAAAACTTTAAACACAAAATCTAATTTCCGTGTTAATTATAAAACTTTTTACTACCATCAATGAATAATAATAATAATAATAACAATAATAATAAATTTTCATTTTTTATTGGTCAGAAATATGTTATCGAATTGACCAATCAATTTTGTAGTTAAATTAATCAATGTACAAGAATTATCCAATCAAATTATTAGGGGAAGAAAAACAGTGATATTTCTTTAATTTGATTGGCTAATAAATTAATTTAATGATGTCTGAGGTTTATGAAAAATATTCTTGGTAATTTAAAAATAAGATTAAAATTGGTGATAAATTATGTTTGTTTGTTTAATATTGAATGATGAGTATGGAAGTAAAGTGATAAGTTTTAGATTGGATTCATATGATGAATTATTATCTTGTTAGTTGACTAGGAACTTTCTTATCGAATGATCAACGAATGGAATTGATTAGCTCAGTATGTGGTTGAGGATCCGTCCGTTGACTCCTTCAAAAGAAAGTTGGAACAATTAAGAGAGACCATCATTGTTAGAACTAATACACGTCTGTCCTTTCCAAAATGAAACTGAATTTTTTATCTCTGACATACATGTTCATGAACGTGATATCAATTAATAAAAAAAGTGTAAAGATGAAGTGAATGAATACTAGATAATACAGATTAATTGACTTGAAATTAAGTTTATTCAAGACTATGTCAACTTATAACTTATTCTATAATTGGATATAATATCTCTTGATTTGGATCTAAAACCTGTTAGCTTTGGTGCTTAGCTTTTTCCGGTGTTTAACATTATTCCCATCAAAATGTACTAATCATGAAGCCAGTTTTTTGGAATATGACTAACTTAATTTGGCTTTTATTTAGATAAATTTATGTGAATAATTCTCATTTAGTAAAGTGGAAATCCTTATCCAAACATTTAATAAAAAGCAAATATAGCGAATAAGTATTTTCAGTAAAAGGACTTATGGATATTGTAATAGTAATAACAATTGAATTCACATGTCAATCTAAGCCAGACTACCATCGAAAACTTGAAATTACTGGACCAAAGACCTTCGAAGGCTTAAATTTTATACCACTGGGCCTGCCTCCAACGATGTTAATGTCTGACTTCAAACAATACATGAAATTACGCAACCCTTCATCCATTGTCTGAGGTGGATAACTGTCTCATACGCGACACGAATCGGACTTCACTTTTTTTCTTTTGAAAAGTGAACATTCCGAAAGACTTTTTGTAATACGCTTGTTTCATCTTTTTGGCCAGAGAAAATGCAACTTACTATAATATAACTTCTTCAAACCCTTTATTACTATCATTTTTCATCCTCTCACTAGTTAACTCTTCTTCATTAAGCATAATCTTAAATTGATTATTCGCAACATGTTCGATACCTTAAGCTAATAACTTCTATTTTTGATTTCTCACATGCTTCTTATTACTTGGTTTTTATTGTTATTATCTTAACACGTTTATTTTTTCAGGTTTTGGCTTAATTCCCATACTTGTCATTGTAATCGAATGAAAAATAATAATAACGGATTATACGTCTTTTCCTTAATTAACTTTTCACATCACTTGTAATCCGTCAGTTTATATTCTATCTACTAAGATATATGTACATGTATCTATACAAGAATGAGGAAAATTTTAATCATTAGCACTTACAGGTAAATTTGTTATCCATTTTCTTAAACTTCACAAAGTATCAGAAAGGGGATTTTGTGGAGATTGTAGTAATTTAGTAGTTGAATTCATAAGTTGATTAAAGCTAAACAATCATGGGAAACCTGGAAGCACTGGACAACCGTTTCGTTCTAGTACTGGAATCCTCAGCAGTTCGTATCCACGATCCCGCTCTCGGGACTCGAAACGAGGACCTTCGGTCTTGCGCGCAAAGGCTTAACCTCTAGACCACTGAGCCGGTATCCAACGGTATTGATGTCTAACTTCAACCAATCCACAAAGTTGTGCCACCGTACACCATTGTCCTCAGTGAGTTGATACCTCACAACAGACCTGGTTGAATTCCACTGGTAGCGGCTTAACACCGTTGGATGCCGGCTCAGTGATCTAGTTGGCTAAGTGCCTGGCGCGATTTTGATAGATCCTGGGTTCGAATCCCGCGGGGCGCGGGATCGCGGATGCGCACAGCTGAGGAGTGCCATACTAGGATTAAACGGCCGTTCAGTGCTCCCAGGTTTTCCATGGTGGTCTAGCTTCAACTGACTCATGATTTCAATCAGTAAAATGTTTTTGTTACAATAATTAAATATCATAGAGGTGTAATAAATTCTCTTCGCTAAACTTCGTATTTTATTTTTTTTATGTTTAAATTGGGAATTATCGGTCAATTACTACATAGATTTGATCATAATTTTACATTGTAACTGAAAATGAAATCTAAGAAAAAATGACGTGTCATGCTATTTTAGATTTTATCAATTGGATGTAATTGTATCCCACTATTTGTGTTTGCAGTAAAATTCCATCTGATATCAATATATTATTCCATTAAACTGATGATTAATCTAGATTATCTTCCTTTAAAATAAGTATATGTGTATTTGTAATTGTACAGCTTTGAAAATGAGTTCACCGAAAAGAGAACTCTTCACAGAACTAATCTTTCTTATTTAATGTCTTAATGGGTGTATTCCATTTATCTAGATTTTCATCAGGATCTTTTTGTTATATAAAGATGCTTTCAAACAAAATAAGAACAACAAGATTTGCAGAATAAAATGAATTCTATTCCATGGTTTCTTAACAAATGCATACAACGTAAATTTACAATTAGTAATATAATTATTAACAAATGTTTTGATTTACTTTCATTTGTGAATTTTAAATAAATGTTCGGAACATAATTAAGATAATATTAATAATAACAAAAGTAATGAGGGGAATAGGATACAAAGTGTATGAATAAACCTTATTAAGATTTACGTGTATTTATATTAGTATCAGAAGAGGTTTTGTGGATATTATAGTAATTTTCATAGTTGAGATCTTGAGTTAATTGAAGCTAGACCACCATGGAAAGTCTGGAAGCACTGAACGGCCGTTTTGTCCTATTGTGGAACTCCTCAGAAGTGGGCATCCACGATCTCGCCTCGTGAGATTCAAACTCAAGAGTTCTAGTGAGAAGCAGCAACCAGTGGAGTTAAACTGGGTCTGTTGTGAGATAGTAACTCACTGAAGAAAATGATGGATATGTCGCTCAATTTCTTGGCTTAGTTGAAGGTAGACATTAACACCGTTGGATGCCGGTTGGCCCAATGGTCTAGAGGTTAAGCGTTCGCGCGCGAGGTCGATAATTCTTTGGTTTGAATCTTGCTATGCGGGATTGTGGATGCGCACTGCTGAGGAGTCTCGCAATAGGACGATGTGGCCATCCAGTGCTTCAAGGTTTTCCATGATGTCTTTGTATGTTAGAAAGTAGTAATGCACAGTAGAACAGATATTATAGTTACTATAGTGATAATGAAGACAAAAGAAGTTATGTTAGGGTAATGACATTTTTAAATGATTCGGTAATCCTCCAAAACGACAAAAAAGTCAATATGTGAATATCAATAATGACAAAAACTCGTTCTTGAGATGCAATAAAACCAACCGCATAGAACTTTGATCTGCTTACAAACGATTTCGTAATCTACTGAGCTTGTAATGAGATCTAAAGTCATTGTCAATGAAATACTCAAGAAATACAGATAAATAGTCGTCACAATCAAAATATTTAAATATGACTAACCATCAGTGACATTCGATGACTGTTGTGCAATGTAATGAATTGATTTGATTTAGAAATGTAAGCCACTGGACGTCAACTCAGTTGTATAAAGGTTAGGTGCTAGTGGCAGTGCATGAAGTTCCTGCATTTCATCCTACGTGGGGTCGCGGATGCCCACTACTAATGAGCAGGATGAAGAAACTCTCCTGCATCCACTAGCTTTCAATGATTATCTTAAGTCAGTCTGGGACGTAAAATTGTTGACAAGTCAGTAGTTTACAGAAGCAATTAAATATAATGTGGTTTGACATAAATTGAAACTTGACTAATTACCATAGTGTCAGCAAATCGGGAAATAGAGAATGTGAACATTAACGTCAGAGGTGTGAAAGCTCCAGGCAAAATATATGTAAGAGAAATTAGTCTTAAATTTCACATACTGATTTAAGTTGATTTTCCATCAGTTAACTTTCATTGTACTTTCATTGGTATTAATTAACTCACTGTGATTTTTCGTCCAAGTGATATTTATCATGCATAACGAATTCTTGAACAAATGATAAGTGAATGTAATGAGTATATAGTTGAAACTACTCAAACGTGAATTAAACTTCTAGACAAGCTTGGGCTTCTTTCTTTAGTTAGTAAACATGGGAACAGTCTCATTTATCAGCATGGAAATTGGATGTGTGAATCATTAGCTTAGTAAATAATCGTACCAAATAATTATTTGCTCTTTTCAAAAATTACGTTTTCTTCGTTAACACTGTTTAAAACCATGTAAGCTACGGTGAGTATAATGTAAATAACGAAAAAACAATCGAGGCTGGTACACATTTACACTCTTACCAATCTATTTTGTAAATTATGACTAGAACTTGAGTGATATACAACTTACTCAAAAGAACACAATCTTAATAAATCTTTAGGTTATTAACAAGATCATGAATTCATCACCACTTCATTTCAATGATTTGTTTTAATAATATTTAACTATTTAACCAGAGGTGTGTAAGGTTGATAACAAACTTGAATTAAGTAGTAAGTAACACTAAACTAAATTATAAACATTAGCACATATCAATTTTTAGTTATAGTAACTCTAAATTGAGTATAATGTTAACTTGATCGTTTGTCT